ACTCGCCGCATTAAAAGGATGTAAATCACAATTATCCACACCGTAAGCGACTTATGGTCGTATGGTGCAAAGTTGACTATTAATCTTGAATGTGTGAACTGCTTCTTCGATTTTGAAGCAGTGTGTGTGGTGTGGTTTAGCCTAAGAAACAGAGGGCTAAAGTAGATTCAGTCTTAATCGCGTTCGGGTGCATATATTTCAAAAACCGAAGTATACATTGCGTCCGATACGGATGTCTACAGGGCCGTGGCATCCAATAGGGCAACCGGGCAAGTGCCCTAGGCGCCAAAAAGTCCTAAGATTTTTTTAAATAAAATTTATACAAAAGTATTTTACAAAGTTTTTATTTTGCAATTTTAAGTGCACTTGAGTCAGGATTGATCGTAAATAAGTAATATAATAATTATAAAATAAGTACAGTGAATTTGCTAAAGTTAAAGCTAGAAAAGTAAATTTTAAATAAATATTTAGTCAAACATTTTTTTAAATAAAAAGTATATTTATAATAAAAAATATGCAAAGACCACATTCATTATTATTATTGTTATTATTATTATTAAAAAAGGCGCTTCGGACAAACTTTGCACTAGGCGCAATTTTACCTTGCCACGCTCCTGGATGTCTATCATGGGAATCTCGGAAACCATAAAAGGTACGACGATGGTCAAATTAGAGAAAAGATGCGCAATTAAACAGTTATTATCAGGCTTTAAAGAAAACCAGAAAATTCTGATTACTTCCGATGATATACGAGAAAAAACGAAATTTCCTGATTTCGTTTCTATTTTTTTTTCTGGTGTAATTTGAACAGATACAAACAAAATAAAGGAAACACTTTGTAATTGCCACTTTTTGAGCTTTACAAGACACAGTTGAGAGTACATATACTGCATCGAGTGGCATTTTTTATTGCGAATAGATCGATGTACGGCACAAAAAAAAAACAAAAGTTAGAAACTGGGTTTCAACAGGATGGTGCACCCACACACAACGCGTTCATCATGCGAACATACTTATCGGGTAAATTTCCTGGAAAATGGATGCAATCAAATTTGATAATTTTAAAAAAATGAAGAGATGGTTGCAGTCATTTTTAAAACACCGCAACATCAACATTCGCAATGCGAACACGAATTCTGCATAACGATATCGACAAATCAGAAGTTGTTAGTTTTGACTAGAATTTAATTAATAATGCTTCGTAATGAAAAAAAAATCGTTCCAACCTAACGACGAAACAGTACAAATTTGTTTCTTTAAAACTACACTAAGAACACCTTGTAATGTCTTTTAATTTTATTGTTACGAGAATTCCAGATGCACGATTGTATTGTTTCTCAATCGTGAGTAGAATTAATAATATACACATAATACACAATTGGCGGCCGTCTGCGACGAACTTCGGTAGTTCGCACACAATCGGTGACTTTAAATTAAACGGCATGATTAGTTAAATCTAAAAAATAAAATTTAATTAATTACAAAAAAATATACATTCCTACTATGAATCAATTCCACCTCAAACGGAAACTGACGGCACGGGACGGTAGAATCTCAAACTCAAACGGAAGTTGTCGGAACGGGACGTAGACTCTCCAACTCGACGAAATCTGTCTGAATTGTAGACTCGAGCGCCAGCAGGGGAATGCGGCCTTGTCCCTGGACAAGAATTCGAAACGGTTGCCACAGATAACACGCCAGAGACACGGTCTCTAGAGATCTTGCGGTCGGCTTCTAGCGAATGATCTAAAATCAGCATTACGGCACATGGTAACGACAACAAATTTGTTAAGCGGGACGGTATAACTTTTAATTGTGACGAAACGGCAGCTCTAATTTTTTTTTGGAGAGCACAGGGCGTGGGCAAGGATAATAAATGCTGAGATGGTATTATTATTGGGCGCCACTTCGTTTGTAGTAGAAAAAAACGAAGAAAAATATGGTAAAACAATATTGCATTTAATTGGACAATGTTACTAAGCACAAATGTGGCAAAGAAATGGTGGACTAATTCCTATTGATAATTAAATAGTAATTGATGACCTGGGTCTTTTGCAATGCAACAAATAACTAATTAATGTTACGCGCTAACATTAATAGAGCGCAATAGTACAAACAATTTGAGTAAGTATAATTTTACATAATATGTAATTTCTAATTAAGAGTCTTCTTTACCTAAGCGCAACTTTTTTACATTATAGTGTATAGATGATTATAGCTGCAAGAGATAAGATGAATTTCTTGCTTTGTCAACTCCTGTCTTGGTCCTTAGTTAGTTCCCACCGACACTGTGCAGCGGCGCCACTTGTTACACTCAAATTGTTGATTTATCGCCCGCCAAGATACAGACTTTATTTACAAAAATTATGATTTAATTTTTTGGGGTCATGTTTAGAAGTAACTTATCTAAAAAACTGTCGGTTTACTTTTTCCATAAATCGTCTTGATCGAGAGTAAAAAAATAAAACAGATTAGCGCAATAATCGGTGCGAAACATCTAATCTTTAAACAATCGGTATTCAGTTGCTATAAACTTTTAAAAAAAAATAGTCCGAACATTTTGTAGATAAAGGTCTAAATTTATAAAATAGTTCTTTAAAAAAATTGTTTTTTGAAAAACAACAAGAGTTTTTATGGCGGGCGCTCTTATGGAAATTTACATTGGGTGCAGTGGGTACAGAAGACTCTTAAGGTCGGCACACAGCCATACGTTCACAACATGCGTACGAAAAACACGCAAAACATGCACACATACAATTGCCTTATCTTCAGTTCATGCGGTTACTTATCTTCGGGCGGTCGCCAGGTGACCAGTGGATTGGCCTACGACGATATCAAATCTACTGCTTCGAATTTCACCAACGGAATTAATTTCGTTTAAGGACTCCAAGACCAGATAACACGGAAAATTCGATCGCCATAAAATCTCGAACACTTCTTAAAACAGCTTTTAACGCATGTACGAGTATAAAAAGCCCTAAAAGACGCAAGGCAATTAATCTAATAATACTGTAGTTTTAATCTTACCCCTAAGTAGAGGGTTTTAAACACTATAACCACTGCGGTCTAATTAATAATTAGCTTCTAAAGCCAAGAAAGTATTATAGAAATACTGCAAATATTAACGTAAATAAATTCAAATTCAACCTTTATCGCTGAACGTCTGGCTCGTCTGCCTCGAATTTTTAAAGATTATTTACCTATTCAAATACCAATAAATGACATTTAAATTGACTAGTGCCCTCTATCTGCACTATTATTAAAATGAACACGTAAACTTTACATGGAATTTTGAGTTACGATAAATACACGTTACAACGGATGCACAAATTAATTAACGGTATCTACCGGGAAACAAAATCCAGGAAAGCAAAACGTAAACCAAAAGTATATTTATTTATTTATTATCCCTTTCTTGTTCTGGGCCCTAAACAGGCTTGCGCCCAATTACAGAGTGACGCATAATGCTTTTTAGAGGTGCCTCTGTAGGTCTTAAGTTGTTCTATACTACTCCGGTATGTACCTTACGAGTTAGGAAAACTGCAGGAAAACCTAATTCGGAGTAGCCGGCAGAATGCTCGAAACTGGTCTAAGGTAATTTCCATCCCTGCCACAGGTGAAAAATTCACCTCAACCCAGGTTCGAACACCCGAAAGATCTTACACAAGTTCGACATGTTAAATTGCAAACCAAATGACACGCCTATGGCACTTGAATCGAAATTCTCAAAGTCGAAGGAGAAAAATACCGAAGAGGAAAATCCTTACAAACTAATGTACTTAGCAGTGGGTACATATCCCGATATTGCTCATGCTGTAAGTGTACTGATCCCCTCTAAATTAAGCGTTTACCTTATACAAACTTCCCAAAAGGGTAGAGAACATCAGAAATTCCGGTCGGTCGGAAACCTTGTTATTTAATTCCCAGGCTCCCTGGTGTGGTAAAAATCTGGGACATATTTCAAAATCTAAATTAATTAAGCACGCTTAGAATGCCAATAGACTCAATCGATTGGGTGATTAGATCTAATTAGTTGAGGTTGGAAATTGGAATTAAGTCCAATACGGTCTCTTGTCTTTTTCCTAACAGCGATTGACATACGGTGCTGCGAATGATAACATTTCTGCACTTCATTTCCAATTTCTAGAGAAAATTTAAGTCTAGACGCTACGGTTTTCTTAATAACGAAGCGTCAAATTATTTATATATACCGGGTGGTCATTGAAGCTGGTAAACTTCAAGGCGGAATTGAAGGAAATTCAAGTAATAAGTAGAATTAATTCCAACCGAGTTTGAAACCCAGGGGTCGACTCCAGGAGGCAGCGTCAGAGCTTAAATCCCGTCCTGTGCCCCCCCCCCCCACAGTATAATATTAAACTATCAGAAATGTTAATACATGCGGATCACTGTTCGACGTCTGCATACATGAATCAACTACTTTTATTATATCGCCTGGAAAATGCCAGGAGGGATATTGTCAATGCGAACATTTGATCACACTGTGCGGAATTGTTACTGGCGGGAATTATTGCGGGAGGTAAATTGGCACAAAGGATATTTTATATAGGACTTCAAAACAAATCATTAAATTTTGGCGAAAAAAAAGACTGCACTTTCTACGATAACCGTTACCTATATTTCACATCAAACGTAGCAACCTTTCCAAACTACTTTAAGAAATCGCGAGTTTTCGTAAAATACCAAATGCAATTCTGTCGTTACAAATTTCTCGCATAACTTAACCTACGTTCACTATATAGGAGATTGGTCGCTAATAATCCACAACGGAATTAAACTTCTTTGGTCACGTATAGTAAATGCCGAAAAAACTGAATGACCTATACTTTTGTTGTAAATGTAACATTAAACTTATAAAAGAAAAATATAAGTTTTCCTGTTCAAAATGTGAAATAATTCGGTAATCCGCTAACATGCATGGAAAGCACTATAATTACATTGATTGAAAGCACTATAATTAACACCACATTTTTGTATTTCAGTTCCGCCTCATCAGATGTTGGTGTACGATAATTCAGGGCGAGACGTTTCCGCCGTAGTAGGACCTATGGAGGAAGGATCCGATCTTATCCTTACTTGTGAAGTTCGTGGAGGCAAGTAAAATGTCACGAAATGAAAACTTTTATACACTTTTTTAACAAATAGGGCCTTACTACTTGAAAACTTTCACCCTTAAGATGATGCCGCAACTCGCGAAAACTTGAAATGCCTTGTTCCAGGTACTGTCGTTTCGTGACTGCTAATTGTTTAATTAATTTTTTATACCTATTTGGCGAGATGAATTTCTTAAGTGGGTTACGCGGATCTAGATTTTTATTGCATGTGTAATTTTACTCGCTTTGATAAGCTGCTAAAGTGAACATCTGAATCGTAAAAAGAACGCTTGATTATAAAGTAAATGGCGGCAGGGAAAAAAGGGCGCATGGCCAATAATTAATAAGGCGTACATTTCACCCTATTCCAAAGAAATATTACCTTTGCTCTTTATTCGTTCACGTCAGCGGTCTGTGAAACAGTTGAAAAGACTAAAAGTATGACCGTTGATCGAGTTTGTTGGTTATTGCTTATTACTAAACATTACACACAAATAAATTGGATGTGGAAAATTAGTAACAGTGTATTTTTGTACTATCCTTCATTCGCAAATTATTAAAAGGCGATACGTCTTATCCACAATGCCAGCCAATTTCGCAATTAGCGAGTGTTCTTATTACGTTTATAAAGCGACGTTCAAAAACTTCCTACATAAGTTTTGACTTTTTTAGTGTAAAAGAACAGTTCCCTCTATCCGCATTCGAAATTATATTTTATAAGGAATACGAATGAATTTCCGGGCGCATTTTTCACTAATAACTAATTGTTCTTATTCGAAGAGAAAATTATTCGTTAACTACTAACCTTACAAAATTAGCGAACGGAACTAATTTTCTTTAGCAATCTTGGAACTCGAGGTTTGATAAACGGTACGAAAGTCTGCGGACTACGATCAAGCATTTTTCATACGTAGATTAGAATTGTAAGCCGTATAATCGGCGATGGGTCTAAAACTAAATCAGTAGGAGATGAGATTGGCCACTAGACCGGTACAGATAATGAAGCTGTTGATCCAGTTCATTCCAAAGCTGTTGCTGAACATTCCGTTGCATATGACAGAATTTGTCTGCATCGTTAAATCTGCGTTAAATTATTGCCAATTTCGAAAACGTGTTTTGAAAGAAGACCAAAGGTCACTACTTGGTATAAATACAACAGTTGTTGGAGGCTTCTGGTAGTGATAGGTAAAGCGTGGAAGTTGATGTGAAATTGATAACTTTTCTAATAAATCCAATCCAGAGGATGAAAATAATCAATGTGTGATAAGTCAGTGACCTTTTGAATGTAAATGAGAGGACGAAAGTAGCGGCAATCGCCGGCAACCTGAATGTACTGCCGGAGGGACGGACGGACTCGAGGGTCGGCGGTAGCAGCGGTTTGCGGGATGATCTCAAAAACCCGATCGAGTTCCGCAAATGGCGGCGGTCACTTCGGAAAAACTAAAACAAAATTACGCAAACTCCCTAGCGGGAATGAACGCAACAAAACAAAACACAAATTAATTAGTGGTGTCTACGTGAAAGCAAATGCAGGAAAGCCGTACAATATCCCCCATAATTGATAGAACAGGAATAGTTGGTGAAAATTTTGTATTTAGATTAGAAACCCGTTTTCCGAGTGAAGAGGCATTATTTGTACAACTTTCATAAAGTATATTCAAATCTAATTTTCATTTTAAATTTTAAGGTTTCGTCATCCAAATTCGGTTTGGCACCTTGAATTTTCACCACTAGTAGTAACAACAAGGTTTATTACAATCACTTGCACTTGACTACCCGGGTAACAACTAATTAAATAGTACGCATGTTAAAAACTGCAAATAAGGTCCGAAGTGACTTTTATTTGTCACGGATGTATAGTTAATATGCGAGCGTAGCCAATAAAAGTGTGCTTACTTTTGGATTGCTTTTACGGCGCTTTTATTCATGTCTCTAATTAATTTAAAAAGTAGTAACTAATATTCTGAAGTACTACGAGTAAAAATGTTAATAATGCTTTATTATTATTGTCCTCATCCGTACAGCAGTATTAAGTATTACAAAATGCACATAAAGTTATAAAAGGTAATAAATAGGTTTTGTGATTTCTCTAAATAATAAGTACGAGAGTGGAGGTATGGCACGCAGTATTAAATATACAAAGTTATTTTCCAGCAAAATGTATACAATTATTTGAGACAGTATATCAAATCGATCTGATTTAAAACGCAACGGAAGTGAAATGCCATACTTATACCCAGAACAGCAAATTGATGCTTTAATAAGATATCGCCATTGTAAATGATCACGTTTATAAAAATTGTGTAATCACGAAGACGAAGACTTTTTGCAACGAAGTTTTTAATGCAATGATTGCTTAACTTTTAATGCCAAGCTTCAGAAAGTGGAAATTCCATCTTTTCATTTTAGTGAAGTTAGTTTGTCACCTTTAACGGAGGTGGAGTCAACGTATTGCATTTCTCCGACATCCAGTTATCGCATTTATTAGTTGACAGTTTTTTTCGTCTAATTACTAGGCCACAGATTTTTATTACCTAAACCACCTTACTTTACTCGGTAAAATACAAACCTCACATTTACCGTTGCGATATTTCTAAAATATTTTTGATCACCAGGTGCGTGCTGTATTCCAGTGGCGTATCAAACTTGCGTTTTTTTAAATTTAACACCTCTTATTTTATTACCGATTTGGAAAGTACTTGAAAAATACGTATTTTTTTATGTAACATGTTATACCCCTAACTTTAACGATTTCGCTGTTATAACCTTTTTTCTTCAAAATTTGACAGTTTTTCGAAATTTGAGAGAAACTAAATCGCGCAGGGGGCTAAGTTTTGGGCTGAGGCACAGGTTAAGACCTCTTCCACAGTCACATAATTTTTTTAGGTACTTTATCAAAAAAATTAAATTTTTTATTGACTTTCGTCAAATGTCATATTTTTAAAAAATTTTAAATAGCACCCCCCTAAACAAATTATACCTTTAGGTAGCCAAAACTGCAAATTTTCCACTGATACAAAGAAAACTCATTCCATAAAAAATTTCAGAGAAAAACCAAGTCGAAACGCCGATTTGTAAAAAAGAACCTTATTTTGCGAAGTTGAGTTTTATAAAATCAAGTATATCTCTAGAACTATTGATCTGATTTTATTATTCTTTTTTTAAATTAAAGCTATTTATATGTGCTATATGGCATAAGTATTTTTCGATAAAATCAACTGTTAATAAGTAATTTAAAAAAATGTTTTTTTAAAATTTGTTTCTGATTTTTATTTACGACCTGTATTAATTTCTGTAAATTAATAGTGTCTATAACTAACAAATGTGAATTCACAGAATATCTACCAATGTAAGTAACAGAATTCAGCTTCACGGACTTCTTCTGATAGTGAAAGTTCAAACTCATAACAACCGACCCAGAAGCTTTTCAAACGAAAAAATCAAGCCTACGAATTCAATATAAATATAATAATAATATTTATTCACAAGGAAACCCCAAAAAAGAACAGCATAGATATAACAATAATAAATTACCTATAACAATAACAAGTTTAAAGTGTGCATTACACATAAAAAAACATGTTATAACATGGAAAGGCGATCTAAGGAACCATTACTTCAGGTTCTTCACCTTAACACTGATAAGAAACTTCGTCAAATTGTTATAGAAAAACGAAATACAAAAATCATTGCAGTAACGTCTAGAGGTATTGTAGCTGCAGAGGCATGTTTATCATAAATTTTGTTACCTCACATACTCCAGGATAAGACCAGATACAGTACCAATTGATGATTAAGATTGGTATGTGCGGTCACGGTCACTAAACCACCCACATACACGTATCTGTTCAGCTAGATCAATTTAAATTCAGGTACTAACAAAACCTTGTACTAAATAATTATAATTTTTCCAGGGCTCGTCCAGCATCCGCCACAACTAAAAATCTCGATAAGACTTAAGACCTAAACACTGTAACTTTCTTCTACAAGAACTTTACAACTGACGGGACTGACTGTCTTGCTATAAATACGATCAAATACAGCTGACTGCCATACACCAAAACAAAAAGGTTAAGCAAAAAAATTTGACCAAAAAGCACCGATCAACAATTGCCCACATATCACAAGGCTGCGTTTAACAAATTCGAATTCGAGTAATATGCTCGAACTTGTTTAATCTCAAATTTGCGGCAACATTTGCGAAATTCAACATACCGAGTGACCCAACATTACTATATGGTGCTGATGGCAAATAAAACGTCCGCATGATGTAGTTTACACAACAGCAGAAAAGTTGGCATACGAGAAGTTTTACTTTATACGAGAAGATTTATTCTTGAATCTAAGGGTACAGCATCAAAGTTTTCTAATTCGAAACTTATTTCTTACTTTGATGATGAAGTTTCTCATATAAGAGAATATACAAAGAAAAATTTTAGCTACAGAGTGAGCAACAAAGATTGAAGCGTGCCGCTTCAGCTAAATTGGCAATGTGCCGCTCATAGCATATGCTGATTTGATACAAGATACGAAATACGAATAGACGCACGTCACTGTGACAGCGCTGAACGTCATTTTCGTATACAACTCCATACAAAGAAGGTAGTTTTGATATTAATAGGAACAAGCGGTGATGACGCACGCTTCAATCATTGTTGCTCACACTGTATAACGAAGCAAAGAGTCTGACTCATCTTGAAATCAAAAGTGTATGTTGCGCCAGATAATTTGACATACGATTCGTCGCGGTTAGATTATGTGGAAACAAAAAATGCATTGGAAAATTTTACGTCAAAATCAAAAAGAGATCCTATTCCGGAAGAAGCAAAGAAGATGAAAGATGACCCTAAGTTTGGCCTCCATCACCTCATGATTAGAATTACTCTTGTTCAAAATCATGTCAAATACCATTATACAGGGTGTTTTTTTGGGAGCTTTAGTTAAAAGTTTCTGGGAAAGTAAAATAGGTAGGTTTTTGAAAATTTGTACTTAGGAGCTACTCTGAAGACCGAATCGATGTAAAATATTTTCAAAATGGCCGCACTTCCGGAAACACCGGAAGTAGATAGTAACTTCGTTATTTTAAATGGCAATCCCTATTTTTTATTGCATTTTTGGATTCTACGTGAAATTTCACTTTTTTTGATACCCATATGTCGATATCTACCATTTATGGTTTTTAAGCTATTTTGACTTTAAGAAAAAAAATGGCGGATGCAGATGGTACCTTGATAATTGATTACTTGAAAACGGTTGTAGTCATGGCAACCTATTTTTATCAGTGCATAGAGAATTAATAAGGCTTTCTTTTAGTGCACTTAAAAAAAAGTTAAGTTGCGTACGACCGCCCCTATGGATATCCAAATTTATGAAACTTCAAAGACTAAAAACTCAGTTTTTTTAATGGAATGACCATGTTCTTACTATTCCATGAGATAGAGAATCGAAATGGGCATATTTTGACAATACATGTTCCTATAGCTATCTTTAACAGTTTCTGATTCCCATTTTATTGAATTGACACTATTTTTTTAGGATTTTCTTTTTAGTAGTCGGCCATGATTCTATAACAATTGAATTTTAAACAAATCTAGTGACACTAATCCATCGCCCACTGTTATAGGTTAACATAAGTTTTTCAAAAATCGAAAAATGACTCGCAGTGGTTTCACCTATTTTGGAATTTAATTGTTATTTATGGTGAAATGGGCAGAATCGCGGCGCGTGCTTTCCGTATATTCATTCGAAAACTAGAACGAAATTGTATGAATTTTTGAAATTTTGTACCCCTAATGCACTACAAACCGTTGAAGCACAAGTTATACAAAGCTCTACAAGAGAATATTTAAGAAAATGAATTGAATTGCAAATGCAAGATTAACAAAATAAATTCAATGCAAAATATTGTTGAAACATTTTTGGTATGGAATTGTTGCTAGAACAGATATCGCATTACCTCTCTTAATTTCCAGACTTATACGTTGTTTAAGAAATTCTGTTGAACGACTCTGTTTAGATTTTTCAAAAATTTTCTGTCCTATATCCTTATTAAATGAGTTATTTATTAATGAATTATTTAGACTAGAACTAGAATCAGTGGTATTAAAGAATCCATTCCTTGATTTGTTTAAAATTCGATTGTTATAAAATCATGGCCAACTACTAAAAAGAAAATGCGGAAAAAAAATGGCATCAATTCCGAGATCAATTCAATGAAATGGGAATAAATCAGAAACTGTTAAAGATAGCTATAGGAACATGTATAGTCAAAATATGCCAATTTCGATTCTCTATCTCATGCAATATTAAGAACATGGTCACTCCATTTTAAAAAAAACTGAGTTTATAGACTTTGAAGTTTCTTAAATTTGGATCTCTATATAGGTGCGGTTGTACGCAACTTAACTTTGTTTTAAGTACAGTAAAAGAAAGCCCTATTCATTCTCTATGCACTGATAAAAATGGGTTGCCATGACTATAACCTTTTTCAAGTAATCAATTATCAAGGTACCATCTGCATCCGCCATTTTTTTTTTCTTAAAGTCAAAATAACTTAAAAACCATAAATGGCAGATATGACATATGGGTATCAAAAGAACTGAAATTTCACGCAGAATCCAAAAATGCAATAAAAAATAGGGGTTGCCATTTAAAATAACGAAGTTACTATCTACTTCCGGTGTTTCCGAAAGTGCGGCCATTTTGAAAATATTTTACATCGATTCGGCCTTCAGAGTAACTCCTAAGTACAAATTTTCAAAATCCTACCTATTTTACTTTCCCAGAAACTTTTAACTAAAGCTCCCAAAAAAACACCCTGTACATGGCTAATACCTTGAAGTGTACAAACAAATTCAAACTGCCAACTTGTGAAAATATCACTGAAGAAGAGGAAGAAGTAGCAGATTTTAGTGTATATGAAATATTGAAAGTGACGAAGAGGTTGATTTAGTTTTTCGTTAAGTATTAGGATGTATTAGTTATTAACAGTTGATGTTATCGAAAAATAGTAGCATTTGTAGCATATAGAAAGAGCTTTCTTTAAGAAAAATAATAATGAAGTCGGACCAATAGTGCCGGAGATAGTTGATTTTTAATAAAACTCAATATCCGCCATCTTGGATTGGTCGCCATTTCTATTAGCTACCACTTTGAGATGGCAATCGTGTTATTTTATCCAGTTGGCCCACACATTATTAATAGTAGAACAGGTACACCACTCTGTCTTTTTGTAGTAAAAGAACCAGCAGCACACCAAACAGTGGCAAGAGATGAATGCAATGGTTGCTCAACAACCACCATTGGATTTTTAAAAGCCCAGATGCGACAATTGTGTTTGTTAACGTAGCCACTTAAATTGATTGAATGATTCTTGTCAACTAGGTCCAGTCGAAACTTCCGGGCCGATTTGATTTTATGTCGTTTTCAAGCGAAATTGAATGACGTATCTGCCACTTAACGAAACACCAACCTAAAGGTGTCTTTGGCTCGTATCCTTTGTGGGAAGCTTTCACAAACGTATTTGGTTTGGAGTAGGTATGCGGCCAAATCTGTCCCACTTTCTAATCGCAATATTGATTGAAGTTTTGAATGAATGTACCGAAAGGTAGAAGATTTAAATACCTACCTTTGACATTTCCTTCATATATGACAGCATGAACGATGCATTTAAGACCCCACTTAATTAGAAATATATTCGAGTATAACGTCAATATGATTTCATTTTATTTCCTATTTTTAAATTATACTGCAGGTATAATAAAAAATACTATAAGAAACGCGTGTATAATTGGTCTTTAAAGCACTTGCAACGTGTAAAGGCACTCCGGTGCGCGTCGTGTCCTTAAACTCGTTTCGCGTGCTTTAAAGACTTGATTATACACTTGTTTCTTAATATGTATACTATTTCTAAATGGAATATAAAAGAGCTGCATTAACTGTAGTTAAGTGTATAATTATTTCAAAAATCTGAATGAGCCAATACTCTTTCTTCTAAGAATAATACAACCTACCAGGTACTATTTAGCACAAAAAACAAGTCTATATAATAAACAAAATCGGGAAATGAATAATAATTTTGACGTGTTAAATTTGCTTAACCTAAATTTTATTTAAATTTGTTATCTAATTATCGTCGAAAAATTCCATTAGCCGTTTTCGTAGAGTCGGGCTGCGTGACAAGTTTCATTAAATTTTTAGTTGCTGTTTAAAAGTTAGCTGTATTAAGTAATTACAGGAAACACTGGCATTTATTTTGCTTTAGCCCATCGGGCCTCGCCGAAGGAAGGATTTTATAAATGACATGTAATTCATTAGTTCTTTCGGAACGTGGGTCCCGTATCTCATAAATATCTAATCTATCGTTAGTTTCAGTGTTATCGCAAATCTCGAAACCACAATAGCTATAATAGTGTAGGATAGTATAACCTGCCAGTTCGCGTGTCCTTTCGTTATCGACCCACACCTTTAAAGGTTGTTTTAATGTGCCCGCTCGGGCTTCATATTCGATTTTACCCGAATAAAGTCTAAGGATTTGTGCATTTGACCCGTAGAAATTCCATCGGTGGCTTTATCGTACTTTTAAAATGCCCTTACATATGACCATTCGATACGGCAATTTCAGATTTAAAGATAATACTAAACGACTCTGCGATATCGGTTCGCCCTTACTTTCAACGTCCTGAAGTTTTTGCTTACTTCCAGGTCGCCCTCCTCCGACACTAACATGGTTCGTCAATGAGAGAATCGTAGAAGGTCACTTGGAACCATCGAGAAACCACGTTATGGTTAATAGGTTGGTTGTAAATGGAGTCAAGAGAGAACACTTGAATTCTTCGTATAAATGCCAAGCTAGTAACACGAAACTGATGATGCCGACCGAACGAATGGTTAGATTAGAGCTACTACGTAAGTATGCATAATCGAGTGGTAATTATTCTAAGGGCCATTTTTTACAGTGCGCCCACTTAGTGTTCAAATTCTTCTGAAGCCTAAACAAATGATTGCCGATCAAGATTACGTAATCACATGTCAGGTGGAAGGTTCGCGACCTCGGGCAACGATTTCGTGGATTAGAGATAATCGAAAATTCCGAAGGGGAAAAGTAAATAAATTTAATTAGTACGGATTGTACATACAGTTTTTCCCTCACCAAAGCGGCAATAAATTTATATTTCGTTTCTCTAGATCGCGGAAGATGGTAATGACACAACCATTTCGAGTACCGTGACATTTGCCCCAGTTCCCGAGGACGATGGAACATTCTTAAAATGCTTAGGTGACAACCCCAGTCTTCCAGGAGTTGGACAAGAGGATTCGTTTAAGTTAAACATTGTCTGTAAGTGCTCTTTTGTATGTGTCATTTTGAATATTTTGTATATTTCCGTCAGAATTTTTACGTACATCCCGGTAAAGATGTGTCTTGTTGTAAAATGCTTCATATTTGTGTTTCCAAAGTGATTTTTATAGAAGAATGTTATTAGGAATGTGTGGAATTGGATTTAAGTTCGGTCGCAAGAGTGTAGCTGACAGGTATTTGTTCAATTTGCAAGAGCGAGACGCTCGAAATTTGAAATTAACATTCTTAACATTAATGAAACTACAACACTTTACTCCATCCCCAAGTCGATAGTTTTGGTATAAGAACAGCTTAATAGGGCATATAGAGGAAGTGATTTTTATTTTAAAGGAAATTGGATATTCGCTACTGCTATAGAATCCAACAGAGCCATAAAATACGAAAGGCATTTTTAGCCAATCGTCGAACATGAATCAATTGTAATTTTTAACTTGACTGAAAATGCGACATTTCCAAAGAATTTATATATTTCGGGTTTGGGTATGACAACATCTTGTGTGATGTCACTTTTTACGAATAAGTGTTTCGGAAGTTGTTTACAGACAAAAAAGAAAACTATGTTAATGTTGCTCGGTAGGATTAAAGGGTATGAAATATGAGCCACTTTAGAAAGTCTCCCGATGTATAAAATATATGAGAACGTATTACAAAGTAAAACAAGTACCTACTTCACCTATAAACTTCTCAGGGTAAATTAATTATTGTTTATGTTTGACATCAAAGTTAGATCGGAGATGCAAGGTGCTTGATTGCGAAAAAGTTACGTAATCGGTTTGTACGTAAACCTCTAGTTATGTCTAAAAGTAAATGAAATCTAAAACCAGTAGGATTTTAGAAGCACTTTTGACGGTACCTTACTGGCGAAACTAACCGACGATTGGCCAATAAATAAACAAAAAAAAATGTACTTGGAAATGAGAAAAACAACTAAATAAGACTTTATTCATATTCTGTGCTAACAATGTACGAAACTTATGCAATGCCAAACTAGCAACGTGGGAAACTCATCTTGCAAACGTTTGGCGACTCCTGTACCATAACTGATGGACCATCACAAGCAAAGCCAATGAAGCATTTTTTAAGAAATATCTGGAATCCATGCTTTTGTAGGCAAGCCAGCATGTTTTGTGTGATACTGCTGAAGTGTCGGAAAGTTCAATCAAGACCAAATTAAATACATAGGCTTCTCCCGGGAAATCTTCAATGAAAGTCCGAATCAAGGGTTGTCTTCTTGCTAAGTGTAGTCGATTCGTCGATTAGTACTGATATTTTGCTTTTATTCGCGTTCATTTCTCTGCATATCCTTTTCTTCATCTCGGTTGCTATGTGTAAAGCGATGTCGGCGCATGTTTTATCGGATGCAAAATTTTCCCCATAGAAATTTCGTTCAATACTTGTAGATATGTCGTTAGGTAAATCCACAAATGGTCTTTGACCTTTAGCAAGTTTATAGACCGTTCTAAACACCATTTCTGTGGTTGAAAATTTCGTTTTCTTCATATCATGAACAATTTTTCCACATATCTCTTGTGCTTTTATATGAGAATCAGAATTCTTATGCTCAAAAACTTTTTTCCTTAAGCTGGACTGTTGAGATTCCTTTTTCGAACTATCTCACTCACAGTACATTCTTGCCATGGTTTGGAGATTCTCAAATTTTTTTCTCGGTCCACAGCAAAAGCTCGAATTTTGGAACAAATTGAACAGTCTAGAGCTTTATTCTTAACTATTAACTATTAATCATTGTTTGCTTTGTAATGTTTGCACTGATCTAGTGTCCAGCACGAAGGAATGTCATTTTCAATTTCCACTTTAATTTTTTACCAACAAAACCAGATTTGCAATTTCCAAAGTGCTGTGCGATCCGCGGTATATCCACCCCCAATCAGTGGGATTCAAGTTGACTCCCCGCCACTTCTGCACTTGGAGGTAGTAACTTGCTGCATGATGGGCTGCTGCATCTTCCGTGGATGGCAAACGGGTGAGATTTATGCTCTTTGAAGTGACAAACGTCTTATACCTCAGGAAATACAAAGTATCCCTCGCGATGTCACCCCCATATAGAACCACAAAACACTTGATGCCTGCTTCTCTCACGGCTTGTGGGACTTGTTCAGCAAGTAGTTCGCTCTTGCTCAGGAATGCGCTGATTTTGGTCTTTCCTTGACCAAATGGTGCTGAGGTGGTATCGCAGCTGGTAAACGCGTGGGTGAATAGTACCGTCCCTGGTGATCGGTGGGAGTCCTGGTGCTTGTAGGAGATCGTAGAGGTAGAGTAGTGCGAGCAACCATCTTTGCCCTTCGTGTTCTTCTGAAGGTAGACGTTTGTCTCTTCAGCGCCTAAACCATTGAGAAGAACGAGTGGGTCGACGGCTTCTCCCACTATGACGACCCGATCGGATACTGCTCTTTTTGAAAGTGCCGCCATGACGATCTCTCGATCCTCATCCTCTTCGGCAACCGCCACTTCTACTCCCTCCTTCTGAAAGGCGTCACAAAGAAGAGTGATTAGGCGTCTCTTGTTCTCATTGCCCAATGCATGCCCTTGAGCAATTTGAATTACTGTGGATTCATCGAACGTCAATTCGTAGCTGGAATGAGCAGCGTAGCGCCGGAGTTTTGGTGTTCGCCTATTTTCGAAGAACTGTATCTTGGGAACCAATGGTTGCATAGACCTCGCTCTATAGTCCAGTCAATAGAGAAAAGTTTAGTCAAAAATTTGGTGTCCAAGAGGTTATGACTGATTCTTATGTATTTTTTGGCGTAGATTCCGAATTTTTAATCTCCCACCAACCTTAGGGGGGGGGAACCCCCCCAAAAATGCAAAAAACCCCAAAATTTCGGCCCAAAATTCAGAATTTTGGAAAAATCTCGCTAAATTTAGATTTTTGGCCCAAAGTACCTTAGTTCCAAATTAAAGTACACAAAATTTGCAGGAAAAGTGATATATACACTTTTGGTCTAGGACCAACGGGGGCGGAGATAAGAGGGGGGTCAAAAAAGGGTACGTTGTTGGAAAACGTGAAAAAAACTGAATTTCTCTGAATAACTCGCTAAATGTTGGTTTTAGAGAAAAAACTCAAAGGACCAAAATGAAAGTAGACGAAAAATTACTTCGGAAAGTGCACGTGTGCGGAGCCGATGAAGGGGGGGAGGGGGCGAGCGCAAAACCTCTCTTCCTGGCGCCGCGCGACGGCACTGGCATAAGGCGCTATACGCGCAGTTTCGGGTATCTCTGGTGGCCTCGGTCCCGGTCATAACGGATGCTTCTTTGTCCTTATTTTAGAAAGGGGCCTCTGGCTTCCCCCTCCCTCTTGTTGGTCGTTTGTATGCTTTTTGTGTCCTCTGGAAACCAGTTCAAGATCCCTCTTCAGTGCGTCTGTGTTGTCGCGTCGTGCGCATCACGCTATATTGCTCCCTGCTTATTTACTATTTTTCGGTTAAAAGTTTGTTGTTTTTACCGAAATTTTCTGTAATATCGTGCTCGCGCGCCTGTGCGTTTTGAGTTTGTTCGCTTGCATATACTCTCGAGGGGAGAGAGGGGAACTAGTTTTAACCTTCATGGTACTCTAATGAAAGGTCTCAACGCAAGGAATTAATTTCTACCAACCATAGCCCTCCTCCTCGACCTCTTATCGTGATCGGGTATATTACCTTATACCTTAAGAACGGATTGTCGGAAGAGGGTACTATCAAAGGGCGATTGAAACGTCTGCAAGAAATATATCCATTGGTGATGTCCATACAAAAGCTATTTCGGTTAAAAAAATGCGCTTTATCTGCACAGGGGTTGTGCACAATTTATATCGGGCGATCAAAAATGATTGGCTGTCGAGTCGCCTTTGGAAGTTCAAGTTAGATACGATTTCCCATGTAAACAAAAATTCCAAAGGCGACTAGAGAGCCAATCATTTTTGATCGCATTGTACTTGTTTATTTAGTGCTCGAGTTACAATTTTTGGGGGAGATTGTAGTATTTGTCTGAAATTCTGATTTGCATGGCGGACAGCAAGAAACGTTACTTTCGCACTTTTTTAGGTCATCTTTAAATAAAAACTCAACCTCTACTGGCTCAGGCGAAAAATAGTAAATAAGCACGGAGCAATATAGCGTGATGCGCACGACGCGACAACACAGACGCACTGAAGAAGGATCTTGAACTGGTTTCCAGAGGACACAAAAAGCATACAAACGACCAACAAGAGGGAGGGGGAAGCCAGAGGCCCCTTTCTAAAATAAGGACAAAGAAGCATCCGTTCTGACCGGGACCGAGGCCGCCAGAGATACCCGAAACTGCGCGTATAGCGCCTTATGCCAGTGCCGTCGCGCGGCGCCAGGAAGAGAGGTTTTGCGCTCGCCCCCTCCCCCTCCTCCCCCCCCTTCATCGGCTCCGCACACGTGCACTTTCCGAAGTAATTTTTCGTCTACTTTCATTTTGGTCCTTTGAGTTTTTTCTCTAAAACCAACATTTAGAGAGTTATTCAGAGAAATTCCGTTTTTTTCACGTTTTCCAACAAAGTACCCTTTTTTGACCTCCCTCTTATCTCCGCCCCCGTTGGTCCTAGACCAAAAGTGTATATATCACTTTTCCTGCAAATTTTGTGTACTTTAATTTTGAACTAAGGTACTTTGGGCCAAAAATCTAAATTTAGCGAGATTTTTCCAAAATTCTGAATTTTGGGCCGAAATTTTGGGGTTTTTTGCATTTTTGGGGGGGTTCCCACCCCCTAAGGTTGGTGGGAGATTAAAAATTCGGAATCTACGCCAAAAAATACATAAGAATCAGTCATAACCTCTTGGACACCAAATTTTTGACTAAACTCCCCTATTTAGGTCTCTATTGACTGGACTACTAGTCTAGTCTACTTTAAAATATTATAGAATTACTATACCGATCAGACCCTTCCTTCACTGAGATATTGAGTAAAAACTGAAAAAAGTCCGAAAATTTCATGGTTTTTTGGATATACCACCGATCGC